GGGGGTGTGTTTTTTTTTTTTGTTTTTTTTTTTTTTTTTACAGTGACAGGTCTAAGAAATTAATAAAGCAAAGTCATATCACATTTCCTAGCTGCTACAGCTTTACTTCTTTCAAGTTTATTCAAGTCCCAACATTAATTCCATGATTCAAAAACACTAATGCTAAATGAAGACATAAAATCCTAAACAACTGAGCGGCACAGTTCAGAGGAAAAGGTTAGGAGGAGAGCTCTCCCTCTCTGGGAGTGGCCATAGGGAAGTCACTGACCCATAAAAATATCAGAGCTAAAGAGCACGGAATCTCTCCAAATTAAAATGCTCAATATCCTGCTGTAGTGGAAGAACCAGCATTACAAGAACGAGGTAGTTTGTAACTATAAGCTTTTCTGTTTGTCTCTCTACCCAAATACTCTTCTCTGGTACAGGATTCCCCGCGGATGCAGGATTTAGCCCTTGGAGAATGGGAGATGAGAACAGCATCAGCTACGAAGAAGTTACCTAGGCATGGTAAGAGCATGAGGAATTTTAGGCAGTACTTCTGTGATCAAGGGGTAAGATTTCTGAACCAAAAGAAAATAAAACTGGAACATGCAGCTCCCAGACGCTGTGTTCTGAATCCAGTCAGCAGTTCCACTGTACAGTCAAAAATCGGCAGCAGAAGTTTCGTTTGTTTGTTTTTTAAAATAGAACCATTGATAACGGTGATTTTGGATTATTGTTAATACTTCTACCCTATTGCCAACGTTTTGCTCTGAGCAGTTCTCATGAAGACCCTATTTTTTACAAACAATTCAGTGTTTTGAATGGAACCGTGACTGAGAAGTTACATGGGAAGCTATATGCATGCCACAAACGAAAGCACTGTGGATCCGTACTGTAATCTACTTTCCATTACCAATGTCTTTTTGTCATGTAAAGTCACACATTGCAATAGCTTCACATGATGTTGCAATAATTTCACAAAATTTATGTTCCATTTCCAATTTGCTTATGGCATTCAGAGTCTCCCCACACTACAGCTCACAGCATTGCTGTAAAACACCTATTCATGACAAGATGGGTCAAAATAATTTGGGAAGAACAGCACACCACTAGGACACAGACAGAGGGTCATCATACACAAAACCAAAGCCCTGGAAAAAACTGTCCTGTATTTGTAACTGTTTATTTTTGGAATGGGACCTGTCTTCCAAAACCACTGCATGCAAAATTCCCACTTATTTCAGTAGTGCTGCACAATGAGAACTTTTACCGTGCTACAGCATCACCCAGGCTGGAGGGGGCCTCCCTCCACCCGGGCAAGAGGAAGGGCAAAGGAGGGAGGCCAGCGCTAGCACAGAATACAGCCTCACCAACACGACACCCTCCTGAGCTACATAAGGTGTGCAGGCAAAACCAAACCCTCTGGAAATACTGACGAAGCCTACTACTAAATGGAGCTGGTTTCTCAGGGCTATGGTGAAGAGCAGGCATGCTTGCTGCCAGTGAACTGCAGGCAGAAAGAGAAGATCCAGCTCTTTTTCATCAAGAAATTATTCTAAGATTTGGGAGCTAAAAATTGTTGGTAGTTTTTTTTATGAAGTATTAAATAGAGCAGAGACAGTAGTATATATGGGCCTAAGCATAGTAAAATTTCTAATTTTGATTGGTATTTAGTGCTAGATAAGGCCTTTCACATTTTTCTTTACAGTTCCTACAAATCCAAAATTTAAACCCTTGAGGGCTTCAGAACAGTCACTCTAATTAAGCCATTCATCTACTGCAAGCAGGGCTGGGGGGAGAAAAATCCCCCAAACCAAAAAACCAAACAGCTGTGGTAGCAACTCTGAGTCATCCTCCACTGAGGACCCATCTACAAAGTGCCCACATTAGTGTGGTTTGTAAGCACCCAGAGGGGACACCATCCTTTCACTGAGATGTTTTGGCATGCTCAGCTGCCAGGACAGGGAACATGCCAACTGACGTGGCCTTGTTTGATGTCCTGCTTCAGCTGTCCTTTCTGTGGTGAACAGTTACCACTACAGGCTCATTCGACAGTGGTGATCAGGCAAACTTCAGTGGGAAACTGCATTTAAAGTAGGTATCTTTGATTATAAGCCTGAAGAACTGTATCTTCCCCAAGTAAATGTTGCATAGTTGCTACTCCGTCCCCTGCCTAAGGAGAAGAAGAAGCACCATGCGCAAGCACGGTCTCTGCTATGTGACTACCGCATTCAGAGTAACACAACATTGACATCTGTAGGCTGCCAGAGCCAGAGGTGCGTGGAAGAGGTCTCCTCCCAGCTCAGGAAGGAGACATGCCCTGCCAACATAGGCTGAATTACTGAGATGCTTCTGGGTGTTCTGCCCCACCACATCTCCCACCCTCGCCAGCAGAAGCAGATCAAGTGCTGGGAAAAATTAGCCCAGACTAGAAATGTGAGCAATATACAGCAGCATGGACTTCTGCAAAACAAACAGCAGCATTGCTGAAAGGACTAAGCTGTCATCAGAAAGTGTTAAAATCAATGAGTTCGCTAGAGCTTCAAAGCAGTAAATGGAATATTTCACTTATACTCTCCAAAATAAATACCTGCCAGCAACTTAGAACTTTGTATAAGTAGTATACTAAAACAGTCAAAACAATGAATTTATATTGTAATTTAAATGCACATAGTACAACCTCCCCCTCCCCAAATGGGCATTTTCCCCATACACTGGACTATTCCCACAAAGAATTACCAATTACGTACATTTTTAATTTACTTGAGAACTGGGTACTTTACCCCATTTTTGTCACAGGAGCTATGCACCTACAGAGAGGTATGGCTATGCGCCTATAGGCAAGTATGGGCAGATAAACAAGCTATTTTCAGTGATAAACTGTCCTTCAACCCACCCCAGGCTCAAAGCATGCATGCAGCAATTAGGACAGTAACTAACAACACAAGCCAGCTTACCTTAAACTTGTTGAGACTATACCCTAGAGAAAGCAGTAATTATAATACTGGAAAACCCATGGTTTTCCCAAGAAAACGTAGCCTGTGCAATGTAGAGAAGGCTACAGTAGCTTCATCACAGTCCATAACATGTATTCAGGAAGATGGAAGGAGGATGAGGAAGAAAAGGACTACTCAATCCAAAAGACAAAGGTATCAAGATAATTAGTCACTATAAAACTAGATGTATTGGGATTACAAAGACCCACAAGCATACATAGCAAAGGTAATTAATTA